GAGAGGAAAGGGAGAATGGGGAGCAACCGCTTAATGAGTATAGTTTCGTTTGGGGTGAAAATGTTCTGGAACTAGGTGGTTATGCAACACTGTGAGTATACTGTCATTAGTGTTTAGTTTTATGTTAGAGGTATTCTATCGCATTATGGTATAACACACAATGTTATATGGTATAACACACTTATATGAGGTACTAGAAAAGTAACATTCACAGATGGAGAAAGGAGAATGGTGATTATCAGGAGCTGATAGAGGAGGAATGGAGAATTTTAATAGGCACTGAGTTTGAGTTTTGCAAGATGAAAAGAATTCTGGAGACTGGTTGAACAACAATGTGAATGCATTTAACATTACTGACCTGTACACTTAAAAAATGGTTAAGATCATAAATTATATGTTTATATGTATTTTACCATAATTTAAAAAATAAACTAAAAATGCACAAAGATATTTCATGAATACTAGAAGTATTTCTCATGAAACAAAATTCCTTAACAAAAATATTAGCAAATTAAAATCAGCAACATACTAAAAAAAAAAACAAAACCCACCATATCCAAGTGGTGTTAAGCTAGGAATGCGAGGTAAATTAAACATTCAAAAACCAATCAATATAATTTACTACATTAACAGAGAAAAAAGAAGCAAATCATATTATTAGTATAATAAAGAAAAGTCATTTGACAAAGTTCTACTCCTATTTATGATTTAAGAAAAACAACTCTCAGCAAACTAGGAACAAAAATAAATTTCCTCAACCTGATAAAGAACATCTATAAACAACCTACAGCTTACATTGTACTTGATGGTGAAAGACTTAATTTCAGAAACAAGAAGGCAAAGACATCCACTTTCGTTCAACATTGTAGCAGAGATCCTAGCCAATGCAAAGGGGCAAGAAAAAGAAACAAAGTATCTGCAAATTAGAAAGGAAAAAATAAAATTGTTTTTATTTGTAGATGACATGATCATTACTGTATATTGAAAATCCAGAGTATTCTGCCAAAAAAACTATTATAACAAGTAAATTTAAAAAGTCTGACATCAAGCCAATATTAAAAAAAATTGTTTTACCATGAGAAATGAAATAAAATTTAAAAATGTATAATAAAAATTTTAAATCATGCCACTTACAATAGTATCAAAAATATAAAATACTTAAGAATAACACATGTGCATATTTTATAACTTGTACCATGCAAACTACAATTCACTACAGAAAAAAAATTTAAGATAATCAAATAAATGGAGAAATACGACATATCACCAACCGAAAGACTCAATAATGTGAAGATGTCAATTTTCCTCAAGTTGATCTACAAATTCAATACATCCCAAACAAAATTCTAAGAGGCAACTTTCCTTTAAAAATAAACATGCTAATTCTAAAATTTGTAGTGAAATGCAAAGGACCTCAAAAAGCCAAAACAGTTTTCAAAAAGAGCAAAGCTGTAAGATTTACCTGATTTCAAGACTTATTGTAAAATTACAGTAATCAAGTCAGTTTGGTATTGGCCTGAGGGCAACACAAAGATCAGTGGAATGAAAAGCCCAGGGAAAGACCATGCAAGGTTTTTGATAATGAGGCGGAGGTAATTCTGCAGAAAGGGTAGTCTTTTCTAACAAAGGAAAAAATCTTTGCTACCTTGGGATAGGCAATATTTTTTAGATAAAACACTAAAGATATGAACCACAAAAGAAAAAAATTGATGAATTGAGGTTCATCAAAATAATGAATTTTGCTTTACAAAAGAAAACATTAAGATAGTGCTCACCTCGGCAGCATATATACTAAAATTGGAACAGTACAGAGACGATTAGCATGGCCCCTGCGCAAGGATGACACGCAAATTTGTGAAGCGTTCCATATTTTTTCAGGGCTGTGAGTTCAAGCCCCACGCTGGGTGGAGAGATTACTTAAAAATAAAAATCTTAAAAAAAAACAATAAAACATTAGGATATTTAGAAAGCAAGGTTGGGGGGAAAAACACATATATGACAACTTGCATCCAAAATATATAAAGAACACCTCAGTAGCAAGAAGAGAAAGGGATGGGTCAAAAAAAAAAAAAAGGCAAAAAGTTTTAACAGATACTTAAAAGAATGGCCAATGATCCCATTAATCTTAGGAAAACACAAATTAATTCCACAGGGAGATATCACTATACTCATTAGAATGGCTAAAATTTAAAGAAATGACAATACCAAGACTTAATGAATATGCTCAACGATGGCATTCTCATCGGGAGTGTGAAATAACACAACATTAGGAAACAGTTTGGCAGTTTCTTCTAAAGTTAAATATACACTTAACATAGAACTGAGTAATTCTATACCTAAAGAATTTGCAGAAGAAAAATTAAAACATCATATCCACACAAACACTTGTACATGAATATTATAGAGGCTTTATTCATAAAAGGCAAAAACTTGAACAACCCAAAGTTCTGTTTAACAGATGAATAAACTAAAGTACATGCAAACAACGGAATACTAATCAACAATAAAAAATGAACTACTCGTACAGACAACAAATTGAAGAAAAAAAAAATCTCAAAAACATTACTCCCTGAAATAAGCCAAATACAAAAGGACAAATACTCTATGATTCCAATTATGTGAAAGATCCAGAATAGTCAGATTCACAGAGACCCAGAGAATGGTGGTTACCAAGGAGGGGAGAGTGAGGAGTTATTTTTAATGGATACAGAGTTTCAATGATAAAAAGTTCTGGAAATGGACTGTGGAGATGATGTCACAACAATATGAATGTACTTAATACCACTGAACTGTACACTTAAAAATGGTTAAGATGATAAATTTTATGTTATGTATTTTTTACCACACACACAAAATCATTTTGCTGAGGGAAAAAAGCCAGACAGAAGAGGGTACATACTATACGGCCATTTACATGGCATGTCAGAACATGTAAAACTAAGCAATAATGACAGAAATCACATGAATGGCTGTCTGGGATGGAAAAGAGAGGAAGGAGCTGACTGTAAAAGATCTCAAAGAACTTTTTAATGTGACCTTACATTTGCCAAAACTCACTGAAATATACACTTAAAATGCATACATATTTTTAAACATGCATACATACTAGTATATGTAAATTGCACTTCCGTATATTTTCAAATAAATAAATAAGCTTGAGGAGGGAATGAAATGTAACAGAGTTGAAAATAAAAATCTATAGACTCTTTCGAGGAATGAGGTTATGTTGTGGTGTACAAAGAAGGTAGTAGCTGGAAGGAAATATGTGGTCTGAGGAGTAGTTCTCAAGATGAAAGACAAATGACTGTACTTAACGCCAACGGGAAACCAGTTATTTGAAACCAGGGTGAAAATCCAGAGGTAAAAGAACATAAAGGCTAGGAATGTTTAGTTGCCGGTGTTTGAGGCATATGGAACTTCGTTCTACATTTCCCCACTTCAATAAAAATGAGTCTTGTAAAAGAAAAAAAAGTGAAGAAATGGTTTGGCAAGTGTGAGCTGAAAAAAGTAGACTGAAATATCCAACAGAAGAAACTTAGCAAACTCAAGGAAAGAAGAACACATTATTCCCATATATCTGTATGTTAATAGTAAATACAGTAATAATGGAGTTCCTAGAAATATTAGCAAATCTATACTAATACCAACCTTGTAGTAACACCCTGAATCTCTACCAAGAAGTCAGCATTTTGCTAGAAAGCAGAAGGTTGCTGAAACCAAAACAATATGCTCTAATATTTCAGGTATTCTCCAAGCCTTGCAACTGAAATAAAATGGATCACTGAGGACAATAATGGCAACTCAGGACCACTAATAGATGAATTCTATTTTCAAAGCCATCAAGCATATGTAAGGATATCCATACCATCTATGTGGTAAAAAGCCTTGTGAGAAGATCATCTGCAAGTATGAAGAATAACAAATGTTTTCCCAGTACAAAAAACACTAATTGAAGGGAATGAAAACTCTACTTTAGAGACTAGAACAGCCAAAGAATTCTAGTGAAAGAAATTACTGCTTCTCTCAGGTGGCATATCAAATTCAGACTAAGGTATGTACTTGGAAATAGTCATACCCTGTATCCTAGCCCCCAAAACATCATTGTTGTCATCTTTATAACTGTAATTCTATGATTTAGTAAGGTAATTTTTTAACTTCAGCCTTTTTATAAAAGCCTCTACAAACATTATTTTAAGGCCTCGACATGAAATACATTTTCAAACACTTCATATAGCTATTTTTAATTAAAAATAAAGAAAGAAGGAAAAGACCTACTATTTCCAAACATGGAATTCAATGACAAAAACTAGTACTATTTTAATCAACTTTTAGGTATGGCTTTTCCTTAAATTTGACTTTTACAATTTATATTAATACATTCCTCTATCAACATCTTCATTTGTTAAGTATTTTCAGATTCCAAAACTGGATGTGTGTATTTACAAAAAAATTACTCCAAGAGATATGCTTCACACACACCATTAATAAGATGGAATAGTACAACCAAATAGCTATGAACTATTATTCTCAAAATTCAAAATCCCTTATTTTGAATCCTGAAAGCATCAGGAGTTAGCAAAATGACAACAGATATTCTTGCAACGGACTACAGTAAAATGAATGTTTACTTCTGTTCAGATCTACAACAAAACCAAAGGTAATTGCTATGACACTGATTACAATATATCAACCTACATCGACAGCAGAGCTAAGCTTCTACATTTTCCATTTCAATAGAGGACTGCTGCAAATATATGCACCAAATAATTTGGGAAATTAAATAAAACAAGAAAATGTAAATTAGAAAGTGGTTTGTTCTGGTCTTTCCTTCTTACATTTTTCCCACTTTTCTTTTTCAGAGGCCACAGAATACTTTTTTCTAAAAATCTCTGCTTCCATAAGATCAATGATACAATGACATCAAAACATAGTAATTTCTATTTGCAAAAACAGTTTTCTCTCTTATATAATAATACATTTCATATAAGATTTTATCTCACCTGGCCAGTTCTTTAATTAAATTTGCAATGCGTCTTTTGTCTTCGAGACATAAATCCTTCAACGACGCACTCTTTATTCCTCCCCCGCAGAAATTCTAATACAAAACAAAACAAAACAAAATCTTTTGGTTAACTTTTGCTAAAAACAATTTTTAAGACTTTTTGAGAAATCTCTTAAAATTAGCACAGGAAGTAAAATTTTTCAGATTATCTTTTCTCTGGTGGTATGCTTTTTTTTTTTTAAGATTTATTTATTTGAGAGTGAGAGACAGAGATAGCCAGATAGACCATGAATGGGGAGGACAGGAAGAAGCAGACTCCCGTTGAGCAGGGAGCCTGATGCAGGGTTTGATCCCAGGACCCTGGGATCATGACCTGAGCCAAAGGCAGACGCTTAACCATCTGAGCCACGGAGGTACCCTCTTTACCTGTTTCATTCAAACTTACTATGAATTCAAAACAGGCTAAGGAACTGTCTGTCCAGCAGGGGACATCATAAAATTTACATAGAGAAGACCACAATAGGCAGAAATGACCCTGCTTAAATATTAGGGATTATTAAGGAAACAACGTTTGCTTGGTGAATGTCACAAAACAAACACCTCATGGAGGATACTGAGAACTTTTCCTACACTACAGCACGCAGGCTGTTTACAAGTACACTAAGGTTGACAGCAGAGACACCAGTTTCCAAGTTCTCAATATATCCTAAAGTGCATTCCAGTGGGTACTAGACCAAAGAGTAATAATAACAGCTAACACATATCTCATGCTTACTACATGTCAGGAACACTATAAGTACTTTACACTTACTAATCTGGCCGATTTGCACAACAGTGCTATGAATTAGGTATTATTTCTGTTTACGGTGAGGGGATATCCTCTCTCGGATTACAGCAGTTAAAGTAGCAAAACCAGGACTCGAGCACACATCCAGAGTATGTGCTCCCAACCACTGAACTAGCCTATCTCTTGTGCTATAAAAAGTTGTCCTAGTACTTGAACTTCATTAAGAGGGGTCTTTAAAGCAATGAAACTCAGCGAGTCACAGGGAAACTACAGGTAACATGTAAACGGAAGGAACCCTAGACATTTGTACAACCACAAAGTAGGTTAGTCCAATTTCTTCACGTAGCCAAGGACAAACCAAGAGCTCTAAAATGAGTCCTGGAAATACTGATAGCCATAGATGGGAAAGATCAGGGAGAAAAAGGAAATGGGGAGAAAGGAGATGGTAAGAAAATAAAATCAGTTTGGTTTTGGATATGGTCAACCTAAGATGCTAGGAAGATAGGCATATGGAAATGTTTAGGAAGGAAGCTGGAAAAATGGGTGTGGCTCTCAAGTCAGAGAAAAATATAAAGATTTTTTTTTTTAAGATTATTTATTTATTTGACAGAGAGACAGCGAGAGAGGGAACACAAGCACGGGGAGTGGGAGAGGGAGGAGCAGGCTTCCCACGGAGCAGGGAGCCCGATGTGGGGCTTGATCCCAGGACCCTGGGATCATGACCTGAGCTGAAGGCAGATGCTCAATGACTGAGCCACCCAGGCGCCCCGAAAAATATAAAGATTTAAACTTTAGTCATATGGTATAATGGATGATATTTAGATTTTTATTATTTTCTTTATACTTCTCTATGTTTTAGATTTTTCCTTAATGTTAAAAAATACTAGTTTTTAAAAATCATCTATGAATCCAAGATAATAAATTAAAGGACAAAAGAGAATCAGAAGGATATAATATTGTGGGAGAAAAAATGTTTCAAGAAGAGCACAGGGTTAACAGTGCTAATGATCAAAAAAAGCTACACAGAATGTGGAAAGCAGTCACTCAATTTGGCAATGGGAAAAGTTGCTGAAAACACACGAGAAGACATCTTAGTGGTGCAGTGAGTAAAAGAACCAACAAGAGAAACCCCTGCACATGGGCAAGAATTTCAACAGCACTGTGTTTGACAGAACGTCCTTGAAAATACAGATATTTGTCAATTAGAGAATAAACTGTAGTATATTTATACAATGGAATTCTGTAGGTATTGGTTGTTATGTTACTTAGTGATTTTCATCTTCAAACCCACCCTTCCCAGCCCTCCTTTGTGGTGCTGGGCCTCAGACTTTAGGAACCTCACATCTCCTTTGCCAGATGGCTCTCTGTTAAAACCTGCCAATAGGAAGAACTAGAGGGAGACCAAAGGTTGCCCGAAAAAGAAGAAAAGACACAGTCCTTCCTATTTACATCTCGTTCCCACTAGTGTCACCCCTGCCAGAGTGTGCTCTGACAAGGATAGCAGATTCCAGATTCCAATTTTCCTGGCCCTGGCAGAACCAGCCATTAGTATGTCTCCTCGGGGACCACAGTACCAGTGAGGCTGGTTCCCCATCATCAGAAGTCTATGTTCCAGCTCTAAAGGGCCCCTCCCCCAAGCATCTAAGATTTAATAAATCCAACTTGCTCTGGCTGTTTTCCTAGCCCTAGAGATGGGAGTTGTTTCTTGCCGTTACTACCTACATGATATCTTGGTGTTCTCTGTTTACCTTTTCAGTTCTCTAGCACCAATTTAGCAAGTCTTTATATTAAATATTCTCAGTAAAAAAAAAAGTGACTAGACTGGCTGAAATATAAGTGAAAAGAAATGACATACAATGGGGTGCCTAGGTGGCTCGGTTGGTTAAGTGCCCAACTCTTGTTTTGGGCTCAGGTCATGATCTCATGGGTCATGAGACTGAGCCCCACATTAGGCTCCATGCTCAGTGGGGAGTCTGCTTAAAGATTCTCTCCCTCTGCTCCTCCCCCAACTCTCTCTCTCTCAAATAAATAAATAAATAAATAAAAGGAAATGACATATAGCTATATACAATTTAAGTAAATCTCATGAACATATGTTGAGCAAAAAAAGCAAATGATACAATACACATAGTATGAGCTTATTTATGTAAAGTTCGAAATATATTTAACACTGAACATTGTTTAAAAAAATAATTATGTATTTAGACTATGTTGGACAAGGGTTGGTAAACTATAACTGCAAGCCAAATCTGGCTCACTGCCTATTTTTGTTAAGTAAAGGTTTATTAAAACACAGCCATGTACATTCATTTACACATTGACATATATATGGTTCTTCACACTATAGTGGCAGAGTTGAGTAATTGAGACAGGTCACACGGCTCACAAACATTAAATATTTATTAACTGGCCCTTTACAGAAAAAGTTTGTCTACCCCTAACATTAAGAAAAAAAAAAAAAGAATGATAAACACAAAATTCAGGATAGGGATTACTAAAGCACATGACAGACTAAGGGAAGGATATACCTCTACAGCCACTTGGTTTACAATGGCATCGTTGCAATTCAATGGGGAGAAGAATGGTCTTCTCAATAAATAGTGCAGACCAATAGACTGTCAGTATGGAAAAATGAACTAACACCATACCCACAATAATTCCTGATGAATGGATTTCACTGTGAGAAGTAAAACAATGTGGCTTCTAAAAGAGAGAGAGAGAACCTGCTGCAAAGAGTGCAGGTGGCTAACAGCCTCACCTAACTACTGCCATGCCTTCAGATCCACTGTGGTGTTCACACCAGTGCCAGTGACTGGGAACGGCAGAGGTACTAGAACTGAACCATTTCTGTTGGACATGGCATCCTTAAAGAACAATATTTGCTCTGGGGTTCCCCATTAGCCTGACAGACACTACTTCTGACTGCAAGGCAGTATGAAGTGTGAGGTTTTTCCTGGTCAATTTTTCTTCTTGCTTTTTTCTCTCACAGATGCCAGACCTGCAATAAAATCCTAAGGCTCTCCTTGTCTATTCCTGTTCACTTTATTCTCTATCCTATGTCAGCTTTTCCTTCACTGAATTTCCTCCATTTTTACTTTCATCTTAGTACCTACTTCCCAGAAGACTTGAACTGACATAATTACCATTTTGAAAACCTTAATGAATTAAGGACCTAGCTACTGAGTATCAATGGCTACAAAGATCACATACAGAAAAAATATAAGACATTATTTCTCTGAAGAAAAACACAGACAACATCTATCTAGTTTTGAGAAAAAAATGCATATGCATACATATACACACACCCCACACACATCATTTCTAGTTTTGCAACAAAATAAATACACACATACACAACCCCTACATTCCACTTCTGGGCAAAAAGGAGTAATAGGAACCATGCCTACCCTGATGCCTAAGACAACCAAAAAACCTGACAAAATATATGAAAAAGCAGTTCTCAAACACTGGACAACAGGCAGCACAGGAAAGTGATCACTGAAAAGAGGGGAACCAAATAAGGTGCGCCATGCAATTATCCTAGCTAAATTGCCTCTGGAGTTTTCAGGGTGCAATGTGGGGAAACCCAGATGGAGCCCAGCAATCTCCCCAAGTTGAGAAGTTAGAGCTGGGAGTCCAGGAGAGCCAAACTGTCTAGAATTTGCAGGGCAGAGTCATGGAGAGGATAGAACTTCACAGAAAGAGAGCTCTAGGGATCTCCAGAGGGTTCCCTGCACATCAACAACTGAGTATTGATTAGCATTTGTCTATGAGGAAACCCACCAAAATCCAAGGAAAGAACAAATGAGAATGTGAGAATAGTTCCTGTAGCTAATAGAGTGTCAGCAATAGTCCATGTTCCCACCAGCCAGAGTGGAAAATCTCCTAATTCAAGGGGCATCAGGAAGAGCACTCAGAGGGCCACTGCCTATAGAGGGCAAAATTAGCCCTATATTAAAAGCTGCTCTAGTGTCACCTTTAAAAGCTTAAACCTGGCACCTGGGTGGCTCGGTTGGTTAAGAGACTGCCTTCAGCTCAGGTCATGATTCTGGAGTCCCAGGATCTAGTCCCGCATCAGGCTCCCTGATCAGCAAGGAGTCTGCTTCTCCCTCTGACCTGCCCCCCTCTCATGCTCTCTCTCTCACTCTCTCTCAAATATATAAATAAAAATCTTTTTTAAAAAAAAAAGCTTAAACCCAAGCTTCAAAAAGATCAAACTACTCCCGGGGCACCTGGGTGGGTCAGTCGTTAAGCATCTGCCTTCTGCTCAGGTCATGATCCCGGGGTCCTGGGATCGAGCCCCGTT